CAAAGTTGGATACAAAACAGCAGCGACCAACCGAGTTTCTCTCCAGGATGTCATGAAAGGGCTGGCAGCCTCGTCCGAGAGCCGGCGCATGCATTTTTATCATGTGTGCAGCAGGGAGACTGTTTCATCCCTCTGAACAGGGCAGGAAGCAAAACAAGAGGTTGCATTTACATTCTCATTGGCCTTCCCTCCCATTCGCGTCCTCTCTGTGATTCCTGAGCGTGCCAAAACGGTTCCTTCTTTTTAGTTTGTTGTTTTGTTTTGCAAACTTGAGTTTGGTGTTGCCAGCCAGCTGTGGCTCCTACCCTCCTGGGCTTTTCGTGCCACGTGGAAAAAAAAAATTCTTTTTTTTTTTAAAGGTCTCGTTGCCTTGGGAAAGCATATGATGTGCTGCTGGTCTTTGCTGTTTTTTAGAAGCCAGAAGAGCTGATTTTCCCCCAGCCAGATTCTGCTCCTTCTAGATCCTCAAATGTCTCTTTGCAATTTTTAAATCAATAGGTAGATCAATTGGGCCTCTGTTCCTGGAGGTTGCGGTGGGAGGTGGTAACGACAAAGGGCATTGTGATTTTCCTTCTGGAACCATCCTTGTTTTTTCCAGATCAGCTACACAAATCAGAAGACACAAACAAACGAAGAACAGTCACGAGCCAGAGAGTGACGTGAGCAATGAGGTCCCTGTTTGAAAAATAACTTTTCCTAGGTTTCTTTTTTTCTCCAGCAAACTGGCATTTGCTGGGCAGGAGGGGAGGATAAGGGTGAGCACCGGACAGAGGTTTAATTCTCCCAGTGAGGTTTTCCAGAACTCTTGAGCGGCAGATGAAAATGTCTTCGGGGGGTTTGTTGACAATTCCAGAACTTTGGATGAACTTCCTGCAAAAATCAAATCAAACGTTTATCGTCAATGCACTACACATGTACAATGAACTTGAAAAAGCTTGGAGCAACCATCTCTTTGGGCCGGTCCCAGCTCTTCAGGTGGACTTCTTCCCTCTTGGTAGGACCGTTTGGGGTGTTGCATGGAGCTACCATGAGAAGAAGCTTTTCGAATGACCTGCCAGCGTAGGAGAATTGTAAATACAGGGCTCAAAAGTTTAGATTAACTTCCCCCGCTGCCGAAAAAAAAATGCTTGAGCTGGACAGAAAGGAAGCCAGCCTCATTGAAGGCAACCAAGCATGGAGAGTAGGTGTGTTTAGCCAAGGGAGTCTCCTCATTTTGGAGAAAAAAAGCAACTGCCTTTACTAACAGTTAAGCAGTCTCCCTGCTTCAATTAAACGGTATTAGAATTAGCCAGTCTTGTCTTGCCTCCAAATGCAAAACCGTTTAAGGTCTGGAGCAGGAGAGAAGAAAAATGTATTTTTTAATATCTGCTGCTTGGTGTTAGGATAGCCAGTTCAGTCCCTCCGCTCCTTCTGCCTTCCCTGTTTCTTTCCTTTGGTCAACCCTTCCCCCCCCAATCAGCTTCTCCCTCCCTGGCACGATAGCATCTCCTACAGCCTAGGCCTCACAACTAATGGTCAGGTGTGGCTGCACAGCCTTGGAGCCAGAGGACAATGGCACAGTGTTTTGGAATAAGGACGTCGCGTTTAACGTTCCCCGGTCTCCAAACGGAACCATCTATCATCCTATTTTTCTGGAAAGAGAAGAAGCTGCGAAGGAACTCCCATGGAGAGTCCTCGTGTTAATTGTCATATTTGGGCTTGGCAGGTTGTTTCGCCGTGGTTTTAAGCTGATTTTTTTTTCAATGGATGTGTCTGGATATCTTTTTTTTTTTTTAAATTTAAATAAAAAATAATAAAACGGGAAAAAGAGTTTGTATGTCACCAGCCCTTAAAAGAAAAAATCGGAATTGCTCTCGGTTGCAGGGAAGCCAACAATTGTTCATATCAAGTTTGTTGTTGCCTTGTAGATTTGCGAAGGAAGCAATAAAGGAGAATATTTGTCATTTAGGGTTGAAATGAGGGGGTCCTTGGTGCTCTCTGAGCGGGGTTGTTTTCTGGCAGACGTTTCATGACCTAACTAGGTAACATCATCAGTGCTAGAAGGGAATGGGGTTTGCAGAGAGGAGGAGGACTGTGGGTGCTCTCTGACCTTGGTGGTTTTCCTGCAGACATTTCCTGACCCAACTAGATAACATCATCAGTGTTACGAGTAGCGAAATCTCTGCAAGAGAACAACCAACCTCAGACAGCATCAAGGACCCCACAGATTGGGGGGAGGGGGGAGGGAAGATTCTATTTTCCCCGAAATGCATAGCTTCTTCCTCTCTTCGGGTTGCATGCATGGGGTGGCTGCAAAAAAACCGTTGCAAGGAGGAAATTGTTATCCGAGGTTACCAAGTGATCAGAAATGTTAATGTGTGTATATATAGTGGCTTGCATTCAACTTGGTAAGTCACAAATCTTTGAGGGTGGGTGATGGGAGGCAATTCTAAGCCTTCAGCAGGCACAAGTTCTGACAGGGTTATTTAAAAGGCCACGGTTCTTTCCGATAACAGTAACTCCTTATATACCTAAACACTTACACAGTACACCATAATTATCCTGCGGTGTATAATTAAGCAGTTTCTCTGCAGTCTGTGCGGTACACAGAATGTTTGTGATCCTTGCACATTTTGTTTATTTCTTTATTTGTATTTCATTTTTGTTCGTTGACAAATAATTCTCCCTCCTCCTATTTTCCCCACAAACAGCAACCCTGTGAGGTGGGCTGAGAGAAAGGCACTGGCCCAAAATCACCCAGCCGGCTTTCATGGCTAAGGTGGGACTAGAACTCGCTGTCTCCTGTGGTGATTGGCTCAAAGTTATCCAGCTGACTTTCATGCCCAATGAGGGACTAGAACTCCCCGTCTCCGTGGGATTGGCCCAAAGTCATCAAGCCGGCTTTCATGGCTAAGGCGGGACTAGAACGCTCCATCTCCATGTGATTGGCCCAAAGCCACCCAGCCATCTTTCATGGTTTAAAAGAGACCAGAACTCCCTTTTCCAACTTTCTAGCCTCGTGTCTTGACCACTAGACCAAGATTATTCACATAAACCTTAATGAGCTGTGGGTCTTCCCATTCAATCAAGGCTTGATTCCTGAGATGGGGCTGCTTTGCTATATTTTACAACCATGTCCATATTTTCATGAGAATATTGTTGGATCAGATCCCCCAGGGAGGATGGCTGTGCAGAAAAAGAAAAGGGAGATAAATATAGAAAAAGAAGAATCTCTGACTCTCTTCGGTACAGATGTAAATATGAAAGACATGAATCTTTTGCTGTAAAATGAACCCTAACCCAGGTAGTCCTCAGCTTACAACCATTCATTTGATGACTCTTGGGGTAACGCGGTGGTTCACGTGTTTGGAGACCAGGTTGACAATCGGCAAGCCCGCGTTTGAGACCCAGTTGCTGCTGTGTGACGGGGCGAGTTCCTGTCATTCACTCCAGCTCCTGCCAACTCAACAGTTTGGAAAACAGGCGGCCGAAACTACATAGATGGGTGGGAAACCTAAGAGGGACATGAAATGAGCCCCCAACCGGGCATCCCCCTGGTCAACAGTGATGTCACCAGCTAATATTTTCACCCCATAAGTGCCTCGGTGCCTCCAACACCAAAGCCAGTATGACTCTTCAGAAGTTAGAACGGCACTGAAAAAAGCGACTTGATGACCGTATTTCACACTTATAACCATCAGGGGTGGGATTCTACCGGTTCGGAACGGTTCTATCGAACTGGTTGTTATGATTCAGTGCAGGTCAGAGAACTGGCAAATCGTACCCCCGGCTGGCCCCACCCCTCTCCACCCGCCTCTCGCCTCCCCGCCCAGTCAGTCCTTATCGTGCATGCGCAACATTGCGCACAGGCCCGATATCGCTGACTGTGTTCTCCTGCGCCCAGTCACACCTTAAGGTATTTCTTTTTTTTCCCCTGACGATCAGCTGTTCCTCTGATCAACTGTGCAGGGATTCCCTTCACTGTCTTACTGCTTCACCCAGGTGGCTTCCCTGAAGCCCAGGAGGGCAAAAAATGAAGGGGGGCACAGCACCCCCTGCCCCCCCTCCATTTTTTTTGCCTTCCTGGGCCCCAGGGAAGCCTCCTGAGAGCAAAAACACCCCCCAGGAGACTCCCTTGAGGCACAGAAGGCCCCAAAAACAGAGTGCAGGAGGGGGTTGCTGCATGCCGCCCCCCCGGCTTAGTTTTCTTTTTTTCCTTCCTGAGCCTCAGGATAGCTTCCTGGGATCAAAAACACCCCACCAGGAGGCTTTCCTGAGGCACAGAAGGCCCAAAAACAGGGAGGTGGGGGAATTGCTGCAAAAGAAGTGGAAGAAGCCATGCCCACCCAGTGTTCTGACCCACACCCTTTTCCAACAAATCAAACACCATCCAAAAGGAACAGAAACCTTGGAACGGTTTTACAAAATAATTCACACAAGCCTTGCCAAACTGTGCGAGACTTGCAAAAAAAAATAACTGGCAAGAAATAATTTGCAAAATAAGAATCTTCAAATACAAACTCAGGATACTGGAATGTCCACGAGGCTGGAGTTTCAAAACGTCTTTGCCTTCTGCAAAGTACGTTCGTTTCACAGCTGGCTTTTATCTTCTTGAAGGAGGGGCCATTACCTTGCAGCCTTACTCCCGAGTCGCCCGTGTTGTTGCAGCTGCTCTTTCCTATGCGCAATCCTGCGTGCACGCACACTTGGCACAGGCTCCTCGGGAACCTCCTCATCACTGCTGCCAGCCCCCACAATCTCTGAAGGCAGCAGTCCACTCCCTAATGGTCCTGGCCCCTCATCTGAGTCCTCACTCTCCTCAGCCGTCCACACCTGCTGACGGCTAACCACAACACCCAGTTACACGGCCATGACCACCTAACCACACCCACCTAGCCACACCCACAGAACCGGTTGTTACGAAATTTGAATCCCACCCCTAATAACCATTGCAGCATCTCCACGGTCCTGTGATCAAAGTTCAGATCCTTGGCAGCTGGCTCATATTTACGATGATTGCAGTGCCCTAGAGTTGCGACCTTCCGACAAGCAAAGTGAATGGGGAAGCCAGTTCCACTTAACAACGTGTCACTAACACAGGCAGTGATTTGCATAACGAGCATGGCAGGAAAGTTCCTAAAACGGGGCAAAGTTTAACTTCACCGCTGTCTCGCTTAGGAACAGAAATCTGGGGCTCAAGGAACAGAAATCTATAACTCAAGGTCTACCTGCACTAAGGACAGAGATATGTTGGACCCTGTTTGTGCCATCAGTATCAACAAGAGAAAGCCAGCAGGGGAAAATATTAAAATCTGGACAGCTAAACAGCAGTTTTTAAATGCTTCCATTGCAGGCTGGCGGTGAGACGCAGGCTATTATCATCCAATCGTGGTGCATAACACAATTCATAGCGCATGTTCCTTGGAGCATTTTTAATCCCATGAATAAGTGAGGACAGTCAACCAGTGGAACAATGAAGCCTCCAGAATTTTGGGGGGTTCTCCCATCACTGCAGGTTTTTAAGAAAAGACTGGACAGTCACTTGTCTGAGATTGTATAGGGTCTCCTGCTTGAGAAGGGGTTGGACTAGATGACCTCCAAGGTGCCTTCCAGCTCTCTTCTGATTGATTGATTTCCACCACCACCACCACCACCACACACACACACACAAAATTAGGGAGATGTGAGAATTGGCCCTCTGCAACTTTTCCGAGATTTTTTTTTTTCAACGCCTGGCCGAAGTTGGGAGAAAATGTTGCTGGCTGGGGACGATGGCAGTTGTAGTCCAACAGAGCTGACAGGGGCCTTTGATTAAAAAGGGAGAAGAGACAGGGATATTTTTGTCCCCAACATCACTAGGAAAAGAAAACCTTCCTGCCATAAATATCCCATCGTTAAAAAAAAAAAGAAAGAAAAAGAAATAATGGTTGGAAATGGAACAAGGAAAGATTCAACCTGGAAATAAGAAGAAATTTTTTGACAGAAGTCGGCTTCGGAAGTTGCGGGAGCTTCATCCCTGGAAGCTTTCGAGAAGAGACTGGACTGCCCTGTCAGAAATGGTGTAGGGTCTCCTGCTTGGGTGGGGGGGGGGCTGGGCTAGATGACCTACAAGGTCCCTTCCAACTCCGTCCATCTGTAAACCTGTAAAATATTGTCTCTACCAACATGGTGTGCAAAGCAGCAGGTTGCTCGTGGCACCGCGGCGTCTGCAAATAACGGCGGCAATGCCTCCCACTTGGAAATTTAATTTCTGGATGGACCCCCCTACACACACACACACACACACACACACACACACACAGTGCCAAGGAATCTGAACTCGCGCTAGGAAACCCTTAACGTTAAACCTTTGCAAGGCAATCGAACCAAGCGGGGAGGGGGGGGATGAGAAAATGGAAGCTCTCCTTGATAAATTGAGACAAGGAAACATATGCATACTTCCCCCCCCCACTCCCTGTTTTGGGGGAGGGTGGGTTTGGGGGCCGCACACTTTGGATTTCTAAAATAGGTTAGCTCCGAAGGCGGCCTCTGCTGCTGAATGTAAAGAGGGAAAAGAAAGAGGAGGTAATTTTAGAAAGTGCTAGTTGACCTCCGGCCCCTCCATCTGTCGTGTTGGAAGGACCTATTTAAAGAGAGGGTGGGCAGGCTTCGGGCTTTGGGGTCGGCTTGGGTGGGGGGTGTTTTATTAAGGGACCCACCCACTCCAAATCCCAAAAAAGAGGCATGAAAAAGAGACGTGTTTTAGACAAATACGGGGGGCCACGACAAACATCTGTCTCTTGAGTGCTGGATTTGTCGTAGTCGCCTCAAAAAGGCTGCTCTGGAGTTACAGATAATCCTTGACTTACAGCCCAAATTCCCGTTGCTAAACGATTGTTAAGTGAGTCACACCCAATTTTATGGAAAAAGAAGAAAGAGAGAGAGAGAGAGAGAGAAAGAGAGAGAGAGAGAGAGGGAGAAAGAAAGAAAAAAAAGACTAAAGTGGCTCTCAAAATACCACTATGGCTATCAACCCATGGAACACAAGTTGCCTTCAGAAGTTGTAGGAGCTTCATCCCTGGAAGCTTTCAAGACGAGGCCAAGACTACCACCTATCAGAAATGGTGTAGTGTCTCCTGCTTGGGGGTGGGGGGGGGTTGGACTGGATGACCTACAAGGTCCCTTCCAACTCTGTGAATCTGTTAAAGAACCCAGTTAGGGAGAACCCATGCGCCAGGCGACAAAAATCTATTTTGATGTGGTTGCTAGGAGTCCAAAAAAATATCCCTTGATGATGACGCATCCCCCTACCCAGTTCAATCTTGGGAAGTAACTCTGACACCGCTTTTAAGAGACAAGCCGCAGGACAAGGCGGAGATTTACGATGTTTGTCCAAGGCAGGCCATCTCTTTATCATCCCTATGAATTCGGGCGTTCTTCACTGCTGTGTTAAAAACAGTAGTAAAGCAGTAATAAAGCCAAACACCTCCACCCCTATTTGTTGAGGAAGGGGAGCTTTACGGGAGCTTTGGAACAAGAGAGAACGTACAAGGGGTGGCAATTCTGCTCTTTTTTCTTATTTTTTCCCCACTTCTAAGCAACGCCCTGGCATCTCCCACTGGGGGCGCTGCCTTTTTCCTTCTCCTCCGCTGCCCCTCTTCCTTTAGTGGGGTGTCTTTCTCAACTCATCAGCCTGCAGGGAGAGAAAGAGACGTTAAACCTCGGCACTTTTGGAAGCTTCTGAGAACTGTTTTGACTGCAAGAGCCGCGGCCTCCTTCCAGGCTGGGAAGGCAACAGGTTGCAAGGGTGGCTGATTATGCATTAACCTGACCTTGTGGGTGAAGCGCCCTGTGTGGAAAAAGCGAGCGCATAAATTCCTTTTTCTCCTTCGCTTGTTCCTTCCTAAGGCTAATTCAACGGCAATTCCTCTTCTCTTCTCCTCTCCTCTTCTTCTCTTTTCTTCTTTTCTCTTCTTTTCTCTTCTCCTCTTCCCTCCCCTCCTCTTGTCTTCTCTTCCTTTCTCTTCTCCTCTCCTCTCCTTTTCTCCTCCCCTCTTCTTTTCTTCTTTTCTCTTCTCTTCTTTCTTCCTCTCTTCTCCCCTTCTCTTTTCTCTTCTCTCCTCTCCTCTCTCCTGTCCCCACCCCCTCACCTCTTATCTTCTCCTCTCTTCTTTTCTCTTCCCCTCTCTTCTCTTTTCTCCTCTCTTCCCTTCTCCTACTTTCCTCTTTGTCGTCTCTTCTCTTCTTTCTCCTCTCCTTTTCTCTTTCTTGTTTCTTCTTAGAACCAAGGAGAAACTCCCTGACACTTAAAACAACTAATCCGTGGGACAACTTGCCTCCAGAAGTTGTAAATGCTCCAACACTGGAGGTTTTTAAGAAGAGGTTGGATGACCATTTGTCTGAAGTGGTGTAGGGTTTCCTGCCTAGGCAGAGGGTTGGACTAGAAGACCTCAAAGGTGCCTCCAAACTCTATTATTCTAAATTCTTCTCTTTCTTCTCTTTTTTTCTTCTCTTTTTCTTGCCTCCTTTTCCCTCTTCTCTTCCTCTCCCCTCCCCCACCTTCTCACCTGGTTTCAGTTTCTGCCCGGGGTGCATAGCAAGGAACTGATTTCACCAACCTGATTATTTTTAGAACAGACAATGAATATTGTTGGTCATAAAAGCCCATGAGGAAATGTATACACAGTCATGAACTCTGGCTCCACCAGTGACCTCACACCCTACAAATATTTTATTTGAATCATGGGATCTAAAGGATTCCAAAGGTGCCAGATTTGTGTTTTCTGCATGCAATACAAGGGAGGATTGTTGTTGGGTTTTGATTTTTTTTTTTCAGATGGTCTCATCTGGCTAAATTAAAACACTCTAGACTAGAAGCTTTAAGTTTAAGATTACAATTTAAAGACCCAGTTTGAAGTAGCAGTGAAGGAGCAAGCCTGGAAACCGGGGGATGGCGAGTTCTAGTGCCACTTCAGCCATAAAAGCCACCTGAGGGAGTTTGGGCCCATCACCAGGAGACTGGGAGTTCTAGTCCCGCCTCAGCCATGAAAGCCGGCTGGGTGACTTTGGGCCAGTCCCTCTCACTCAGTCTAACCCACTTCGCAGGGTTGTTGTGTTGGGGAAAAATAGGAAAAAAAGTGTGTTTGGGTATGTTCACCACCTTGAGTAATTTATAAAAATAATAATACAAATAATGGATAATTAAATAAGGCAGAGCAAGGCCCTTCAAGGATAAGAGCCCAACCTTCGCAAATCTGTCCTTTCCAATTACTGTACATAAATTTTAAGGCTGTTTAGAAGGGGAAGGAATGGAGAAATTGGTGGCCTTGAAGCCAAGAGAAATGTCCCTGGCTAGTCTAGTAAAGAGAAGGACCAGGGGACACAGGATAGCAGCCTTCCAATATTTGAGGGGCTGCCACAGGGAGGAAGGGGTCAAGCTATTTTCTAAAGCGCCTATAGGCCAGACAAGGAATAATGTATGGAAACTGAACAAGGAGAGACTCAACCTGGAAATAAGGAGGAACTTTCTGACAGGGAGAACAATCAACCAATGGAACAGAATTTCCCTTCAGAAGTTGTGGGAGCGCCATCACTTGAGTCTTACAAGAAGAGATTGGACTGCCATTTGTCAGAAATGGTGTAGGGTCTCCCGCTTGGGCAGCGGGTTGGACTAGATGACCTACAAGGTCCCTTCCAACTCTGATTATCTGTTATCTGTTACATGACCCCGGGACACTGCAACTGTCATAAATGTGAGTCAGTGGCCCATTTTTCCCTTAAATTGAGCTGCAGAGTTGTAACTTTCCTGTAGTCTTTCCTGCTTCAAAATGAGGAGCGATGGTCCGACCAATTTCCTGGGTTTATGATCAAAGCCCAACTTTGCACAGCTCCGGTCTAGCTAAATTCCCACCTGACCACGCAAACGCTTTTCTGAATCCATTTGGCATCTGGATTCAGCCAGGTTTGGTGTTTCCAACTAACTTGATACAGAACATAATTGCAAAGTAACTTCCCTGTCATTAAACAAGCCAGAGATCCACATGAAGTAAGCCGATCTCGTCATTAGAAGCCAACTCAATAGTGCATTCTCTCCATTTACGGAATTGTTTTAGCAACTGGGTGTATTTTACGGCCCTCTGAATAAGAGCTCAAAAAATAACATGCCACTCCTCTCGTCAATTATGGAGGGATGCCATGGGAAAAAAGGCAGCCCACTGATTGTGTAGTGTCTTACCTATATGGAATGCAAGCTGATTGTTTTTTTTAAAGGGACAATCCAAACCAGCAGGTTTCTAGATCTCATGGGTCTAAGGAAAAAAGGGTGAGGACAATATATACCGTTTTCCTGAAAATACAACCTATCCTGAAAGTCCTAGCTTGATTTTTACTTGTGTGCCCATTATAAGCCCTACCCCCCCCCCCAAAAATAAGCCCTAATTAAGATCCCGCCCACTCCAGACTGCACGGGTAAAAATTAAGCTGGGGTGGGGATGTGGGGGGTGGAGCTGCCCTACTAGTTACCTTTGGACAGTTGCGCGCATAGTCAGTGGATAACATCCTCCCAAAATAAGACCTGGTGCCTTTTTTGGTGGCAAAAAATATATAAGACAGGGTCTTATTTTTGGGGACACGTGGTATTTGCAATGCAGGTTGCATCCTTCAAACAAAACAATAAGACTCTGCTTATTATGTAGAACTGGTCCCACTCTCTCTAGCTTTTACCCTACAGGTAGTCCTTGACTTATGACAATTGAGCTCAAAATTTACATCGTTAAGTGAGTTTTGGCCCATTTTACGATTTTTCTTGCCACAGATCTTCTCGTTAAGTGAATCATTGCAGTGGCTAAGTTAGCAACACGGTTATTAAGTGGACCTGACTTCAATTGTGAGAAGGTCACAGAAGGGGATCGTATGACTCCGGGACGCTGCAACCATCATAAATATGAGACAGTCGCCAAGTATCTGAATTTTAATCACATGACCATGGGGATGCTGCTATGGTCTTGTGAAAATTGGTCATAAGTCAACTTCGGGGGGGCCATTGTAACTTGCAATGGTCATAAACTGTTCAAAATCAAGGACTACGGATAGTTGCCGTAACCATTGGTAGATTTGATCTTTTAAAAAAATCTGGATTTGAACAAAACTGTCTTGACCAAGGCTGGGAACAATTTCCACTAAGGTTTATGTGTAAGTCTTGATGGATTTTCAGATTTGTTTCAGGTCTCTAAATTCATGGACAGACATGTTTGGGGATTAGGAATTAGGTGTCCCTTTAAATCAAGGAGACTACATAGAAATATAGAAATAAACGGCATATTTTTGTACGTGATGTTAGTCTGCCTCCTAGTGGACATATCTGGACCTGCAGCCTAAAAAAAAACACCTTCCTTCAGGTTTTCTTTTTGCTTTTCAGTTCAAAATAAGTCATTCTAAAACTCCCTTTTTTAGGGCCCTGTGTAATCCCTTAATCTGAGGAGAAAGAGCGAGCTTTGGCCCAAAGTCCATCAGCCAGTTTTCATATCTTAAGGTGGGACTCACTATCTCCTGATGATTGGCCTAAAATATACAAAACCTTTGCCAGACCAATTCTCGAATACAGCCCATCCGCCTAGAATCCACACTGTATAACAGACATTAATACAACTGAGCAGTCCAGAGATATTTCATGAGACGAGTACTCCACTCCTCTGCTCTCAGTATGCTACCAGGCTTAAAATTTTGGACCTGGACAACCTAAAACTTCACCGCCTACGGTCTGACCTAAGCTGAGTACACAAAATTGTCTGCTACAACGTCCTACCTATCAACGATGACTTCAGCTTCCACCACAACAACACACGGGCAAACAATCGATCCAACTCAAAGTAAACCGCTCCAAACTCGACTGCAGAAAACATTATTTCAGCAACAGAGCGGTCAATGCCTAGAACTTACTCCCTGACTCTATAGTTACATCCTCAAACCCCCAAAACTTTAACATTAAAGTGTCCACTGTGGACCTCACTCCCTTCCTAAGAGGTCTATAAGGGGGCGTGCCTAAGCGCACCAGTGTGCCTACCGTCCCTGTCCTGCTCTTCCCATTTATCCATTTATTCATACTCATTTATTATGTATATACTTACACCCGTTTATGCTTACATGCTTATATGTTATGTTCATACTTATACATGTTTTCTCATACATGCTTGACAAACAAAATAAATAAATAAATAAAAGTTGGGCCTCAAATTTTTGGGGATGCTGGGAAGGTCGTAACTGTGAAAAAAAAGGTCATAAATAACCCAAACCACTCCGTTTTTAAAAACAGCAAGAAATGCCATTTTTAAGCATGAAATTCCACCCCGAATCTCATCCCAGCATCCATTTTGGCATTTGGGTTAAAAAACAAAAATTGACTCCCAATCGTCCATTTTTCTGATCGCGGCAGAATGGTTTTTCCTCTGCAAGCACCAAAAACGCTCCAATTGTAAAAACTGCAGGAAACACTATTTTTAGGCGTGAAATTCCACCCTGAATCTCATCCCAGCATCCAATTTGGCATTTAGGTTTAAAAAAAAAAAAAGGCTCCTGTCACCCAATTTTCTGAACCGTGGCAGTCACTAAACGAACTGTTGGAAATCAAGGAACTATCTTGTACAGCTCTTAAGGCAGGGCCTGTCTTATTCACCAACTATTTCTTCGGGCTAAAGTATGGCAATAAAAAGGCATCCGATAAAGAAATAATTATATGCTGAGGAAAATAAAATCTGGCGTTGCTGTGGATAAAAACTGGGGGCTTCTGGCAGAGACAAACTTAGCAGAAGGAAGGAGTGGGTTTATTTGCTCTGTTTTAAAGTCACACACACACACACACACACACACACACACAGAGACTGAGATGGTACTGAATCTCATCTTAGCAGCATCTATCAATAGCTTTGCAATGCGAAAAGTATGCGGTGTATCTGAGCGCACTTCTACAGGTTTTTTTGGGTGGTGGGGGTTAAGAAAAGAGGATCTCTCCTGATCGATTTATCTGATTTTTCGGTTTGTTTGTTTTAGTGCTTGGTTGTTGCTGTTTTTTTTTTCCCCTATGGATATTCTGGGTTTGAAGCCAGAGGAGCGCTGTTCACAAAAACATATGCCGCATTGTGCAACGATATATTTTCGAAATCAAATGTAGCTGCGCTGTTGGGTTGCCATAGCTTCAACCCATTGATTAGTGGAAACGGTGGGAAAGCCATGCGGGGATTTAAGTTTGCAGTCCCTTCTTGGCCAAACGAGGTTGACTGAGGGTGGAAAAGAGAGGAAGGGGAAACCGCTTCATGCACAATAGGCTATTTTGGTACTAAGGCAGGACAGAAAAATATATTAATTTTAGAGAAATAATAATACAAGTTTTATAGATAGTGAAATAGGTGGTATTAGCAAGAGAAAGAACAAGGAGCTGTGAAATGCCAAGCCACAAGGATCATCTATCGGCCACAAAGCCATATTTGCCAAGATACCTTGTCTCGCTTGTAACAAAACCACAAGCTAGGGAGTTTAGCAAGGTGGGTTTGTGACATCCAGCCATCCTAGCCTAGCAACAGGGGAGGCGGGGGAAAGCTGTGTTTCAAGTAACCAATGAATAACTGGTGTGTTTGGCCCCTTCTGAAGGAGTATATAGGCACATGCTGTTCAATAAGAAAGTTGTTCAGAAGTGACTCTCACTAAAATACTCTGAACCTGTTTGCGCAAATAAAACCAACTTATTTTGGGATTCCAAGGTCTGAGTCTCATAATTTCCTGCAACAGTGCGGTCACCCGATGCCTATCCTTTCAACCACCACCACCGCAAACCTACCTGTGTGCTGTATGTCTCTACTGCTGAAGTCCCACTTGTGTTTTGAGTGTGCACAAGGATGTTTTCATTTTGAGGGAAGTGTGTGTGCTTTTTGTTCAAGAGGCCACATCCGCTTTGGCCCGTTCGGTTTCCCACAAAAGAGCATCCTACCCCTGCTGGGTGGCTTTTGGCCAATCACCAGGAGATTGGGGAATTCTAGTCTCGCCTTATGGCATGAAAGCTGGCTGGGTGACTTTGGGCTGATCACCAGGAGACTGGGAGTTCTGGTCCCACCTTAGGCGTGAAAGCTGGCTGGGTGAATTTGAGCCAATCACCAGGAGACTGGGAGTTCTAGTCCCATTTTAGGCATGAAAGCTGGTTGGGTGAATTTGGGCCAATCACCAGGAGACTGGGAGTTCTGGTCCCACCTTAGGCATGAAAGCTGGTTGGGTGAATTTGAGCCAATCACCAGGAGACTGGGAGTTCTAGTCCCACCTTAGGCATGAAAGCTGGCTGGGTGACTTTGGGCCGACCACCAGGAGACTGGGAGTTCTAGTTCCACCTTAGGCATGAAAGCCGGCTGGGTCACTTTGTCCAATTATGGGGAGAAACTGTACTGGGTAGCCAAAAAAAAAAAAAACCTTTTTGGATGCATCATAACTTTTTTAAAAAATCAGTAAGTAGACCAGAAGAATTACTGAAGGGGAAATGGTATAGCCATTTATCCAGGATAAAATAAGAAATGCTCAAGCAGGGGGTTGGGCTAGATGACCTGCAAGGTCCCTTCCAAGCAGGGGTGGGATTCTACTGGTTCGGACCGGTTCTATAGAACCGGTTGTTATGATTCTGTGCAGTTCGGAGAACTGGCAAATTGTGCCCCTGGCTGGCCCCTCTCTGCCCGCCCCTCAGGGGTGGGATTCTATAGGTTCACACCTATTAGCTAGAATTGGTTGTTAACATTCTTAGCAGTTCAGAGAACCGGTTGTTAGAAGAAATTACTGGCCTAATCCTGTAAGGAAGGCAGGAAGGAAACATTCTGGTGTTGCTTACAGAAACTGCCTCTCCATTAACCCTCATTCCATTCTTGGCAGGACTAAACTTCCTGTCTCAGGAACTTCTCTGGAGTTTTTTTTCCCCTCCTTTGCTGGTCCTTTGCTTGTGTGGAGTGACCATTCAAAGTTACAGTGGCACTGAAAAAAGTGACTTACGACCATTTTTCACACTTACGACTGTTGCAGCATCCCCACAGTCATGAGAGGCCAGGCGAGGAGATGCATGCCTCAATGTGAGTGATATTGAGTTGACCACACCCAGCCAGTCACAGGACCACCAAGCCACGCCCACCAACTAAGCCACACCCACAGAACCGGTTGTTAAAAAATTTGAATCCCACCCCTGCCGCCCCTCCTTTCCCTGCCCAGTCAGTCCTTATCGCGCATGCCCAACATCGCTGACTGCGTTCTTTCCGCCCAATCACTCCTTAAGATATTTCCTTCCCAACAATCAGCACTTCCGATGCCGGAATTCCCCTCACTGTCTTACTGCTTCACCCAGGAGGCTTCCCTGAGGCCCCCCCAAAAATGGGGGGGTGCTGCAAAACAAAAGGAGCCACGCCCATCTAGTCGCATGGCCAAGCCCACTTAGCCACGCCCACAGACCCAGTTGTTACAAAATTTGAATCCCACCCCTGCTTCCAACTCTGTTCTCACTTGAGACGCTTCGAGAAGAGATTGGACCGCCATTTGTCAGAATTGGTGTAGGGCTTGGGCGGCGGGGGTGGACTAGATGACCTATAAGGTCCCTTCCAACTCCGATGATCTTGTTATCTGTTATTCTGTCACACGTAGTCCTCAACTTATGACCACGACCGAGGCCAACATTTCTGTTGCTAAAGGAGCTATCTGTTAACGGTCAGTAAAGTGTTGTAAGTCAAGGACTACCTGGGTTACCCGTTGAGCCAGATACCACCTGTTCTAATACCTGTGCACTTGGATCCTTGCCAACTCTCCAAACACCAATTGGGTTTTCCCCCACCCCTTTTGTTCTTTCTATCTCTCTTCACTCCAGAAGGAAAGAATCTGGCAGC